TCCCCCCGCTCATCCTCATCCTCATCCTCATCCTCATCCTCCTCCTCCGCCTCCTCCCCTGGGAGTCGTGGCTCCCGGCGGAGAGATAAATATGGAAGCTGAAATATATGCAAAGGACATGTTACGGAGAATCGTTCGAGGCAGACGCCCAGAATGTAAGAGGGGGTTGCGTGGGTAGTCCGATCCAAAGTGGAGAAGTGCAGAATGGTGCGTGCTGCTAGACCTACTTGGCAAAAGACCCAAACGGCCACGTCGCGCACACTGGCTCCGATGGGAGGATGATCTTGAAAGTTCTGACACTTTCTTGAAGGACTGAGCCCGGAACAAGTCCGAGTGGAAGGCAGCAGCGTCGCAGTGCGTTGGAGAATGTGAAAGATTCCATCATCATGTTCGACCTCAGAATTTCCTTGACAATGCGAGACGTAGGCGGCGCTGGGGAACTGTAGGTGTTAGGAATGCGCGAATTTCGCAATATGAAAAGCGGCATGAGCGCTGTGAGAATGTGAGAAGTGGGCGCAGAGACTGTGTGCACCAAGGACGCGCTACGGCGCGATCTTCCTCTCATCGGAGCTTACGCGCAAGGGGAGCAGTAGCGGTGGAACAGATGCAGCAGATCATGTCTAACTTCGCACGAACACTGCCTGAAAGCCAGAAGCTTCGACAGAGCAACCACACCTGCCGTCGCAGGGTAGGCTGACCTGCTCAGGGACAGAAGCTGTACCAGGAACTGGCCTGAAAGCATGGAACCGATTCACTCCTCCGTCCCCCTCCCCCATCACTAGAGGCCTCCCCAATAGGGCCAAAGTAGACGGGGTCGGAGAATCGCGCCGACGTCTTCGATACGTCGCCGATGCATCGGCGATGCATCGGCGATGCATCGGCGACGCCAGCGATGCATCGGCGCCGTCGGCGTGGAGAACATCGGGCTCCACGTCGAGCCGCATCCGCGATGCAGCGGGGAACCTGGCGCCTTCCTCCAACCACATCTGTGAAGGGACCCAGGGACACTCAGATAAATGCACACAAATAACAAGATTCCCCGTATTTTCCCATATTTTCTGGATTTTTGTCTCCCCCCCCACTTCCCATATTTTCCCACATTTTCCTGGGAGTCGACGATTAATTGTGCCTGTGTGTTTTTTCCCCTCCTAACTCCCGAGGGCCCCCGCCCTCCCGAGGGCCCCGCGCGGCGCCCGCGCGGCGCCCGCGCGGCGCCCGCGCGGCGGCGTCCTCGTGCTCCGCCGGCGGCTCCTCCTCCACCCTCTGCTCCCGCTCCTCCTCTGGCGGCGGCCCCTGGTCGCCGTCCTCCGCCGAGCTCCTGGCGGACCGGGCAGCGACCACGGCGACGACCACCACCACCGCCGCGACCACGACGACGACGACGACGACGACGACGACGACGACGACGACGACGACCACGACCACGACGACGACCACGACGACGACCACGACCACGACCACGACCACGACCACGACGACGACCACCACGAGGATGATGACGACCGTCAGACGACGACGACGACGACGACGACGACGACGACGACCACGACGACGACGACGACGACGACGACGACGACGACGACGACGACGACGACGAAAACGACGACGACGACGACGACGAAAACGACGACGACGACGACGACGACGACGAAAACGATGACGACGACAGCGACGCTGGCGGCTGGCCACCTGACAAGGGTTTAAGACGGCAAGAGGACCCCAGGACAGTCCAACTAAGCCCCGAGACGGGCCAAACGCGCCCCCAGGCGGTTCGAATACATGCGAAAGCGGCTCCCTGACTAGCCAAGACATGTCAAGATGGCAGAGGCCCTCACGGATGTCCTAGCGATCCAAAGGCAGCCCAGATGGCTGCATAGCGACATCAAATGAGGCCCAATATCCCCCCATCGTAAAACGACCCAAGAGGGCTCCCGAAGAGGTTACAGACAGCCCAGGAGGGCCCCGAGATAGCCCAAGAGAGCCTCAAGAGGGCCACGAGAAGACGTCACGGAGGCTTCAATGAGCCGAAGACAGCACCAATAAGCCCCCCCCCTAGTATAATCAAAGCCCGTATGTAAAGTCCCCATCCACCCGCTCGTCGCGAAGAGATCCACGCATCGTCAGACCGCTTGGCTTGTCCTTCATCCTCCAGTTCCTCATCTCTTTCCTTCCTTTCCTCATCGTCACCGTTGCATTGAAAGCTGACAGGACCGCGAAACCCTAAACCAACGACATTGGCCACACGCTCTACACGAAGAGACCGACGTGCGAGCCACCCTCTCGGATCACCGAGGCTCCCCTTTCCACTTTCATTGCACGCAGCTAAGGACGGTAGCGAACGGCGATTCAAAGGATGAACGCTGATCGACGACAAGATCAGCGACACTGCGGATGCTTCTCACGTGCGGACCCTCGGCAACAATGTGGCGAACAACTCCTTATCCACGGTGTCCTACTGTGTACCACGACGACACCTTACGACGCACCATGTATGTGTATATGTACATATATACAGATATATCTATATATATATATATATATATATATATCGAAGGTTGGGGGTGAGATCGAAGTGGAACGGAGAGCCCCCCTACCGGGAAATCGACTTCGGTTTCGTGTTTGTGCCGTGCGTGCGGGCGAGGCGAAGCTGCGCGGGCGGGGGAGAGGAAATTCTTCTGTGGCTGGGCCGCGGCTGGACCAAAAGGTTCTCCGCCCGGCAACCGGTGGCGCGCGATGTCCCGCCGGTGTCCCGCTGGTGTCCCGCTGGTGTCCCGCCGGTGTCCCGTCGTGGCTGGGCCGCGGCCGGACCAAAAGGTTCTCCGCCCGGCAACCGGTGGCGCGCGGTGTCCCGCGGGTGTCCCGCCCGCTGGTATCCCGCCGGTGTCCCGTCGTTGTCCCATGGTGTCCCGTGGTGAGATCGACAGTGAGATCGATAGTGAGATCGATAGTGAGATCGATAATGAGATCGATAGTGAGATCGATAGTGAGATCTATAGTGAGAGATCGATAGTGAGATCTATAGTGATATCGATCGTGATATCGATAGTGAGATCGATAGTGAGATCGATAGTGAGATCGATCGAGTGGGATCCATAGAGAGATTGATAGTGAAATCGATAGTGAGATGAATAGTGAGATCGAAAGCGAGATCGATAGTGAGATCGATAGCGAGATCGATAGTGAGATCGATAGTGGAATGGGTAGTGAGATCGACAGTGAGATCGATTGTGAGACCGATAACGACATCGCTTGTGCAATCGATAGAGAGATCGATAGTGAGATCGATTGAGTGGGATCGATAGAGTGATCGATAGTGAGATCGATCGAGTGAGATCGATAGTGTGATCGATCCGAGTGAGGTCGATTGTGAAAGCGATGGTGGGGTCGATACTGTTGCCCACCGCTGGCCCCCCTCCCCCCCCAACCTCCTTATCACCCGCAGGGTGGTCGTATAGGTATAGGTGTGTATATATATGTATGTATATTAAAAAAATGTACACGCATCCGATCGGCAAGCCCAGCACCACTGCCGATCATCTCCATATGTGCGCACTCGGAAAACATCCGAGGCGTGACCCACTCACACACCATACCGCTGTGACGGACAAGCACTCGAGGACCATGGAAAAACTCCGTCTGTTCTGTAGCCGACTCACAGAAACAAGCACTACGGAAACGGAACTGGCAGCGAAATGCTCTCGGTGAACTGATTACGAGAGTTGCACCCCGGCTCTCCTCCGGGGCCCGCCGCGAATCCCGCTTTGCGGGCTCATTTCTCCTGTTATTCCTCATCAATCATCCCTCATCATCAATCAATCAATCCCTGTCCCTTGTTGACAGTCCCCCATCATCATCAATCATCCCTCATCATCATCAATCACCCCTCATCATCATCATCAATCAATCAATCCTGGCCCCCTTCCTCATCAATCCCTGTCCCTTGTTGACAACTCGTCCCCGTCGCACCACCACACGTGCCGTTCGGGCGGCCTGAGTTGTCCGAGCGGGACCCCCTCACATTACAGGGCATGTTTTAAATACATATGATTTTTAAAATTATGGGATTTTTTATACATGATCAATGTATGAATAAATGTGTGCACGAACTCCTCGTTGTTTTCAACACTAATTCCCTGCATGTTAAATACATGATCCGCACGCGGAGCACATATCAAAAACGGTACCGTACGATACTGAAGCCTGGAAGATCCCACAGGTGCACTGGTGAAGGGCGGGTCGCCCTCAAAATGAGGCTCTCGCCTTGGCGCCGCGTGCGCTCGTCGCAAAAAGTCCGAGCGCCTACGCGGATGGGGGGAAAGTCGCTTTCAGAATAGGGTTCTCCCCGTAGCGCCGCATTTACTCGTCCTCAAATTCCAACAATTAATTGCACGGAAAGGGTGCGACTCTCTCTCACGATGGGTTTCTCGCCTGAGACGACACCAACACTTCACAACTCGTGCTCCAGACCCTGTACGAGGAGGTCCTAGCGGGGCTGTGGCACCACAGCGCTTTCGCCCCCTGGCTCGAGGCCCCCCGTGCAATACAGCAAGATTCCTGCAAGCAGTGACGGGACCGAGGGGGCAACATGCTCGCCCTCTGGGCACGCTTCGGCCTCCCCGAAACTCCTTCCCGCGTGTAGGAAGTTATGCAACCGTTGCGCGGATGGAGGGCGTCTCCTTCTCCAACAACTGCGAGGCAGGGATTTATCCATATCCACCGCCTGGGAACCGACGTCCTGGTGCCCCAGCGGGCGGTGAATATGGATATGTTTCGGCCCCTGGGGGGCCCGAATATGTCCATATACACCGCCTGCCGAGGCTCCGAAAACTGACCCTCCATGCGGTTGTCATGTATAAATTCCCGCCTCGGAACAACTGACTCCCGTTCGAAGCTTCGTGGGACCTCGTGACCAGACGTCCGGAACTGTGCAGCAGCTGTTCGGATGGAGGGCAGTCCCTTTCCAGAGCGGGGCTGTCGCTGGCCGCTCTCCCTTGAGCGTCATGACCCCACATGGACGCACTCCTTCTGGCCCCAGGGATGGAGGGCAGCTCCTTTCCGAGTGAAGCTCCCGCACGCATGGCGGGCCAGTGGGGCGCTCGCCTTTCAGGAGGGGCGCTCCGCGCGCGCAGCCGACCAGAGTGCTTGCATGGACTGCCGAAGAGGGCACTCGGGGCGGGCGGGTGTGCTGCAGCATCGACGGTGCGTCTACGGTCTACGCTGGTCAACCTCTTGCTCCGCCGCGCCTCCTCCTCGCAGTCGTACGGTTCACATCCAATTTTCCAAAAGTAGCAGTCATCCCACGTGTCGTGCTCATTCTCACCACCATCATCATCAACAACATCATCATCGTCATCACCATCATCAGCATCATCATCACCATCATCATCATCATCATCATCATCATCATCATCATCATCACCATCATCATCATCATCATCACCATCACCATCAGCATCATCATCATCATCATCATCATCATCATCATCACCATCACCATGATCATGGGCATCGACATCGTCATCGTCATCATCAGCATCAGCAGCAGCATCATCATCTGCATCATCATCAGAAGCATCATCATCAGCAGCAGCATCAGCATCATCATCATAATCAGCATCATCAGCATCAGCATCATCAGCATCATCATCAGCATCATCATCAGCATCATCAGCATCATCGCCATCAGTAGCAGCATCGTCATCCTCCTCGTCATCATCAACAGCATCATCATCATCATCATCAGAATCAGAATCATCATCATCGTCAACGTCGCACTCCTAGTCGTCGTCGAATCATTATCAGCATCATCATCATTCGTCGTAGTCGTCATCATCGGCGTCGTCATCATCACCACCACCACCACCATCATCATCATCATCATCAACATCGTCATCGTCATCGTCATCATCGCCACCATCATCGTATTAAGCAGGTTCATCATCATCATCATCGTCCCTCGCTCTGCCTTGATTCCGCTCGCACGTTCCTCCCTTCTTCCCTGCACACCCCTGTACGATCTCTCCTTAGCTTCCTCCTCTCGCGTCTTCGTTTTCGTTGGCAAATTCGACAATCATAACCATCACCACCGTGCCACCCGACCGCCCAGACAGCGGCCCACACACCGCCCAGGAAGAGCAAAGGGGCGAACAGTATCGGGTGCCGCTGTATGGGTTCCGCTGCTTACAGCTGCCACTACCTTCCTGCAAACACTTAGCAAGCAGAGCTGCACCTGAAGTACCCACGAGGGATGTGCAGGCAAGCGCTAAGCTAAAGCACGCTTGTGGATGCACCCGCGATGACAAACTACGATCAGGATATGTGCGCACAAACCCAGACGTCCAGCTGCTCCAGCTTTTTCGATGCATGGGCCGCGGAGGTCTGGACCACTTTCGCAGGACTGGTTCGTCGTCCCGAGTCGTTGTTGTTGCGCTCCTGGAACCTGGCGAGAAAACTGCCAAAAACCGCCCGCTCCAGTTCTTTTGGAGCTTCGGATCTCTAGGACTAGGTCGGGCATGTCCTCCTACAGGCAGATGTGGGAAGAAGAAAACATTCTCCAAAAATACTCAAAAATAGTCAAAATAGGAAGGACGACAGGAAGGACGAAAGGAAGGACGACAGGGAGGACGAAGAAAAAAAGGAAGGACGAAAGGGAGGACGACGAGACGAGAGGAGGGAGAGCCTCAGGAAGGGAAAAACATCGAGGGAGGACGATGAAAGAGGGAAGAGGCCGGCATGCACGAAACGATAAGACGAAGGCAGAATCGTGACAAAACCAGACCGATACAAATCGGAAATCTCTGAGGATCGGCGGGCTTGGATGATGTATCGGGCGCCGCGGCCGTTTCGGAGCGATCCAGAACGCTCTGAAACCTTTCCAGAACGCTCTGGACCGATGCATCTCGATTCGAGCGGCCTGCCTGAAGAACGAAAGAAAGACGAAGCCGGCATGCAGGAAACGGGTCCTGAGGGAAACGGGTCCTGGACATCTGAGCTCTCCCCAGGACCAGCGTTTCGTCCTGAGTCGTTCTCGACAGTCCCAGAGCCGGTGGATGACCCGGAAAGGTTACGACCCGCGCAAAAAACTCAGGACCCGTTCCTTCCGGTCCCTGTCCTTCATGGCGAGAGGCGGAGCCTTCTCGACTGGACAACCCAGGGGTAGCCAGTGCGGAAGCGCGCCGCACGTCCTGTCAATCAGGAATATGTGCAGAATGCCCCTCGCCAACTTCGACTCTGGGTCCGACGCCTGCTCTTCCACGGCCTGGCTCGTGTGCCCCAAGTACTCCTCCCTCCTTCTCGCTCCCGCCGTCCTGCTTCCCTCCCCTCCCATCCCCCCTCTCGTCTATTAGCCACTCCTCCTTGCTCCTCCATCCATCCAGCCATGCTCCTTACTCCTCCTCGTCCGCCTTCTCCGCTTCTTCCTCCAACTCCTCCTCCTCATCCTCCTCCTCCTCCTCCTCCTCCTCCTCCTCCTCCTCCTCCTCCTACTCATCATCATCATCATCATCATCATCATCATCATCATCATCATCATCATCATCATCTCATCATCATCATCATCATCATCATCATCATCATCATCATCATCATCATCATCATCATCATCATCATCATCATCATCATCATCATCATCATCATATCATCATCATCATCATCATCATCATCATCATCATCATCATCATCATCATCATCATCATCATCATCATCATCATCATCATCATCATCATCATCATCATCATCATCATCATCATCATCATCATCATCATCATCATCATCATCATCATCATCATCATCATCATCATCATCATCATCATCATCATGTTCATCAGCAGCAGCATCAGAATCAGCATCAGCATCAGCATCAGCATCAGCATCAGCATCAGCATTATCATAACACCAGCATCTGCAGCAGCATCATCCATCATGATCATCATCATCATCAGCATCATCATAATCAGCAGCATCATCAGCAGCATCATCATCAGCATCATCAGCAGCATCAGCATCAGCATAATCATGATCATCAACAGCATCATCATCATCATCAGCAGCAGCATCATCGTCGTGCCCATCGTCATAGTCATACTCCGCCGCCTCCTCCTCCTTCTCCTCCACATTGTCCTCATCCTCGTCCTCCTCGCCATCATAAGACATCATCAACAGCATCATCACCGTCATCATCGTCATTCCTATCTTCGTCGGTACCTTTACCTGCATCATCATCACCACCACCATCATCGTCATCATCATCAGCATCGCCAACCTCATCATCAGCGTCCTCATCATCATCATCATCATCAGCATCATCATCATCATCATAAGCAGCAGCAGCAGCATCACCATCATCATCACAGTCGTCAACATAATAAGCATCATCATCGTCATCATCACCACCACCACCATCATCAGCAGCAGCATCGTTGTCATAATCAGCGTCGGCATCAGCATCACCACCACCATCATTATCATCGTCAACATCATCATCATCACCACCACCATCATCATCATCGTCATCATCATCATCAGCATCATCATCAGCATCAGCATCAGCATTATCAGCATCATCATCATCACCACCACCATCTTCAACATCATCCGCCGCTTTCTCCTCCCTCATCAGTCATTCCCTCCCTCCCTCCATCCATCCGTCCATCCATCCACGCATACATCAGCCCACCACTGTGAGAAGGAAACGACACTTCTGAGCCGGGATTCGCCCCTGGGCTGAGAGGAGGCCACGCTGGCTAACCCAGCTTCGCGCATCGCGCTGCGCTGAGCACGAGGCGCGTTCTCGCCCAGCCCCCTGGAGAAATACGACCCGCCGGCCCAAACCACGAAGCGCAAAGCGCCGTTACCTTCGCGACCCTGCCGGCGGCCTCGGCCTGCAAGGTCCCCCTCCCCCGTTCCATACCCCATGCCTCAAGCTGTGCCGCACGCTGTGCCGCGATACTCCCCATCCTGCGTGCGCGGCTGCTGCTGCTGCGCGTGCTTGCACGGGCATCTGTGCTCTCCAATTTGCCTTGCTGCCCGTCCAGGCCCCGCCACAGGTGGACCTACACCTCCTGGGGAGTCACTGCGGTTGGAGACTTTCTCGTGTATCCTGCCTGTCATTGACGCCCACTCTGATCTGGAGGCCAGCCAGAAAGTTCCTGTCCCCGGGGCTCAGCGTCTTTGGGGAGGATCCTGGGCACTGCGCGGTGCTGCAGCAGCGTCTGTGGCGTGGCGAACCCGAGGCGCTGTGCGCACGCAACCCCAAGCCCTGGGGGCATGTGCGCTCCGATCGGCTGGAGGCCCATGCGCCACAGGGGCGGGCTCCAAAATCCGCCCATCCATCCATCAACCCGAGGGCGCCGCTCCCTGGGCGCGCCGCCGCCCCCAAGGGAGCTGGCGGGGAGTGCTCCTGGCACGGGGCAGCTCCGACTCTCCGACGCCTCGGGCGTGCTGGAGGCATCCGCTTCCGTGCACGTCTGCGCCCATGGCTCACGCGCTGAGGCCAGCGCAGGGCTTCTGAACTGGACTGGACTGGACTGGGCTGGAGCCCCCGGGAGGGGGGGGGCCTGGGCCTGCAGAGGGATGCTCCGCACAGTCTATCTGGGCCTCCCCGGAGATCCCGCGTGGCGGAGAAAGGCGCAGCGTCGTGCAAGATCGGGACCGGGGCCCTGGGGCCCAGCCTTCTGCAGCATCTCTCGAGCCCCATCGACCCCGTGAGGGCCCCACTGCCCCGAGACCGCGCGAACAACAAGGCGCCCAATGCTTGAAGAGCAACTAGCAAGGGTGTACGAACCGGGTGTTGGAGGCCTGGAAGTGGGCACCAACACCAACACAGGGGGTTGTCTTCACAGGGGGAAGATGATCCTCGATTTCGGTGTTGGTGGTAATATTTCGGCCACCTTGGAAGCCAAAATATCACCACCATCACCGAGATCGGGATCTTCTTCCCTCGGTGGAGGCACACCGCCGAAATTGGTGTTGGTGTCAACCTCTAGGCCTGCGAGGGTGTTAGGCTCGTGTGTGTTGATGTGCTGAATAGGTGTTGAACAAGCGAGCGCGCAGCCGTCGGATCTGGGGTTCTGGCCCAGGGACGGGGCGGCGCAGCAGGGCCACTGCCCCAGAACCTCAGACCGGGCAACTGGGTGTTGGGTGTGGCTGAACCCAGACATAGGGCTGTTCCAATTTTTCCGATGCGTGGGCCCCAGAGGTCTGGAACACTTCCCGCGGGCCGGCTTCTCGTCCCGACTCGCTGTTGGACGGCCCCGGGGCCCCGAGACGGTCGAGAACCGCCCGCCCCCACTTTTTCGGAGCGAGGGGTCTCTGGGAGCCTCTCGCCTGGTGGGTGCTCCCAGGTTGACCCTCCTCTCTCAGAGCGCGTGGACAGGACCGCGCGACCCTTGGGTGTCCCAAAACCATGTGGTGACAGACCCGGCGGTGACCTCGAAATCCGCAAAGACCTCACCGCACGGTCCGTCACCACACGGTTTTGGGACCCTGGAGGCTCCAGTCGCCCGAGACATCCTCGGAGAACGACCCAAGTCCCAAAACCGTGCGGTGACCCCGAATCCCCACCGACTCACCACACGGTGTGGTCACCACCCCGTTTGGGAGCCCCCGAGACCCACCCGCCCGGCGGCAGCGAGCCTTCCGCCCCCCCCTGCCGCTCGAGTCCGCGCCGCACGCGCCGCGATCCACTCTCGGGTCGGGCGAAAGGGGGGGATAGCAAAGGGGGGGGGAGAATCAGCTCACGCAGCTGATCTTCCCGGCGCCTCCCAGCGCCGGAGGCGGCCATGCATCGAGGAATGGGCCCCTCGGTGGGGCCGAAACCGGCTGCATGCAGCAAATTTCGTAACCCCCCCTTGCACTATCCCCCCCTTTCGTTCGGCCCGACCCTCTAAGACGAAGCCGGGACCCCGCGCCCGCCGCACGCGCGCCGGTCCCCTCGACGACGAAGCAAAGTCCGCGCCGCGCGCAGGCCGATCCCCCTCTGAAAAACCGAGCGAGAGCACATCTACCAGCCTCGAACGTATCCCTATCCCTAAGATTGACACGCCAACAGGCGATGACAATCTTAGGGATTCGCCCTCAAAAAATAAGGGAATCCCTAAGATTGGCATCGTGATGAGGTGCCCAGCATAGGGATAGGGATATGTTCCAGGCTGGTAATACATATCGAGAATATCTGAGATCTGGCGGCTCTGGAGAAGGTCTCGGGCGCCAGGGCCTTCTCGGAGCGCTCCGGGATCGCTCTGAGAGCGCTCTGGAACGCTGCGGGAAGGATTTTGGCCTCGTCCTGGCCACGTCCGAGGACAGCAAAGCTGGGGGGTCAGCGAATCCGCGCAGGTGGCCGCTTTCTCTGGCACCTCCCGGCGCCGGAGGCGCCGACGTGAGGACGAGAGCGATGTCACGACAGGATCGGCTCAGGAGGCGCTTCAGGATTTCCAGAGTAACATGGCGGCCCTCGCTTCTGCAGCCCGCGTGGAACATTCGGACATCTTGGAGACCCCAGAAATCTTGGACTGCGACTGACTGCGACCCGCATTGCGCACCCTGTAGGTGCCGCGGGTTGGGGCCGAAGCTCCCACAAACAGTTCAACTGATGCACAGAACATCTCTTCAAGATTGTTCCATGCGTCCCGAGCGGCAACCGTAATCATAACATGATACCGGAGAAAAAAAAACTGACAAAGTCTTTCTAAGGACGCAGGCCTATGGGGCTATTGGGCTATAGGGCGATGGGGCTATGGGGCTATAGGGCTATGGAGCTATAGGGCTATAGGGCCATAGGGCTATAGGTCTATAGGGCTATAGGGCTATAGGGCTAGAGGGCCATAGGGCTATAGGGCTGTAGGGCTATGGGGCTACGGGGCTCTGGGGCTATGAGGCTATAGGGCTACAGGGCCGTAGGGCTATGAATATATAGGCCTATGGGGCTATAGGGCTATAGGGCTGTAGGGCTGTAGGGCTCTAGGAATCTAGGGCGATAGGGCTATAAGGCTATAAGGTTATAGGGCTATAAGGCTATAGGGCTCTGGCTATTGGGCTATAGAGCTATACGGCCATTGGGCTAGGGGGCTAGGGGGCTACAGGGCTATAAGGCTATAGGGCTATAGGACTATAGGGCTGTTGAGCTATTTGGCTATGGGGCTATAGGGCTATCAGGCAACCGGGCACTTGGGCACCCGGGCAGCTGGACACCGGGGCACCCGGGCACCCGGGCACCCGGGCGGGCCATAGGGCTGTAGGGCTATAGGGCTACAAGTCTATAGGGCTAGGGGGTATAGTGATATAGGGCTATAGGGCTATAGGGCTATTGGACAAATGGGCTACATGGCTATAGGGCTATAGGGCTATGGGGCTGTAGGGCTATTGGGCTGTAGGGTAATAGATCTATAGGGCTGTAGGGCTATAGGGGCTATAGGGCTATAGGACTATAGGGCTTTCGGGCTATAGAGCTATACAGCTCTATTGGCGATAAGACTATAGGGCAAGACTGTAAGGCTCTAGGGCTATAGGGCTACAGGGCTATTGGGCTATAGGGCTATTGGGTCACAGGGCTATAGGGCTAAAGGGCTGTAGGGCTATAAGGCTAGAAGGCACCTGGGCACCTGGGCACACGGGCACCAGGGTACCCGAGCACCCGGGCACCCGGGCACCCGTGCACCCGGGCGAGCCGTGGAAATCGGTGACAAACCTCACCTAACCATATGATACCAGAGAACAACCCCAATCAATGTCTTTTTAGGGCTATAGGGCTATGGGGCTATTAGGCCATAGGACGATGTGGCCATGGTGCTATAGGGTGTTGGAAGTATAGGGCCATAGGGCCATAGGGCTGTAGGTCTATATGGCTATAGGGCTATAGGACTATAGAGCCATAGGGCTATAGGGCTGTAGGACTATCGGACTATGGGGCTATCGTGATATATGCCTATAGGGCTATAGGGCCATAGGTCTATGAGTATGTTGGGCTACGGGGGTATAGGGCTATAGGACCATAGGGCTACAGGGCTATACGGATACAGGGCTATGGGGCTGTAAGCTCTAGGGCTGTAGGGCTATGGGGCTATAGGGCTATAGGGCTACAGGACTATATGGCTATAGAGCTACAGGGCTATGGGGCTGTAGGGCTTTAGGGCTATGGGGCAATGGGCTCTGGGGCTATGGGGCTATAGGGCCATAGGGCTACAGGGCTATGGGGCTCGGGCTATGGGGCTATAGGGCCATAGGACTATAGTTGTATAGGGCTATAGGGCTACAGAACTATAGGGCTCTAGGGCGATACGGCTATAGGGCTATAGGGCTATAGGGCTATAAGTCTATAGAGCTACAGGGCTATAGGGCTATTTGGTTATAGACCTATAGGACTATCGGTGACAAACCTCACCTAACCATATGAATCCGCTAGGACCCCTACAGAGGCAAGCTCTGATTGGGGAATGAACCCGCTAGGACCCCTGCAGAGGCAAGCTCTGATTGGGGAATGAACAGAATCACGGGCATCACGCGAACCAGTATCATGACCTCTTGCTCCTCTGATCCTTGCTCCTCAAAGCTTTCGTTCGACCCGACCTGCGGGCGATGCCAGCGGCCGCCAGCAAGACCCCGTGCGCAAGTGGCTCCCCTGCGGGAGCGGCGCGGAGCGGCCCGCCTCGACGACCTTCGCCGGCGCCTCCCCTCGCGGCGCTGTGGGGTTGAGCTCCCGCGCTCGGACTCGGGCGACGCGCGTGCGTCTCACCAAGAGGGCACCCGAGCGACGCAAAGGGGGAGGAAAAGGAGGAGGAGGAGGAAAAAGAGAAGAAGGACGAGGACGAGGACGAGGAGGAGGAGGAGGAGGAGGAGGAGGAGGAGGAGAAGGAGGAGGAGGGGGGAGGAGGAGGAGGAGGAGGAGGAGGAGGAGGAGGAGGAGGAGGAGAAGGAGGAGCGTGCATGAAGTGTTGCTCGTCAGAGGCTCTGTTGGTCAGACACTTTGCATCCTGGAAACCGTTTTTTATATACACCACATGCCTCCACTTAGTGCTGAGGAGCGGCAAGTCATGGCAAATTTCGAACGGCAGCAGAATCAGGAGCTCGCTCGCAGAGGGTTGTCGTCTTCGACCTCTACCTTCCCCTCTCGCACTCTCCCTGGGCCCATTCCCCTCAATGCTAGAGCGATCCACCGTACCTATTCGCGTTCGGATGCCAACCAATTCGTGACAGAATTTGTTGAGCAGCTTACAGGATGGAATCGGCAGATGGAGTCGGCCGTGCCCGAGTCAGTAGTGGAACAGCAGCCTGACCCTCGGCCTATTGGTGTGGAATTCCCGTTTGACACCATGGCAATATACAGGTCGTCTGGCGGCTTCAGTGCCTAGAAGAATCTTACGTAGTCAGGTGTTCGCGGCCCTGCTTTTTTGCGGACAGCGCCGGGAGAATGATACCCAGCAGCAGGATGAAATTAGGTTGGCTCGTCAGACCCCTTCGTTCGAATTCGTTATTCTGGCTGTGAACATTATCCTCGGCAGGGAGAAGGCGGACTTGACTAACCCAAGCGCGGTGGCTGTTTGGGCCGCCCATATACGGGCAAGTACAGTCCTGGCTATCGGGGGGGGCCCATGCGAGACGTGTTCGACGGCTAGGTGGAGGGATGGGGCCCCCCGCCGTTAAGGACTTGGCAGGCTCCCTGGGGCCTGACGGCTCTGACGGCCAAGCAGAGGCTCCAGGTGCGAGTCTCAAATGATCTCTTTCAGGCCACCATTGAGCTGCTGGCCATGGCGGCGACCTCGAAAGCACTTGGATGGATGGAGCATCCAGCCCCGCCGAGCTGGGAGGCGAGATGCGTTCACTATTGGCATGTGTTACCAGCAAAGGGGCTCATCGCGATGCCAGCGGCCACGTTTACATGGTTTAATCAATGTGAGTTTGGTCAGGTCGACAGGGTGCCGATGGCAATCACCTTCTAAGGGAGACGCCTGGAGGAGGTTTCTGCTCGCATGGCCTCTGCGCATCCGCCAGTTTTTGGGATGGAATGAGGTCGAGAAGCGCTGACGGTCGGCTCAGAAAAAGATATATCCCACGGAAGTATGCAGTGTGCTCGCACAGTCCATGCTGGAATCGCTGTTGCCCACGTTGTTGGGGCAGTCTCGATTGCTAGATCCAGAGCCTGACGATAAAAAGGAGTGTGATAAAAAAGAGTGTGCGGAGCTGTTGCAGTTTTTGGCCGATGTTACCTCCATTGATGCTTCTGCCCCAGCCATGGGGCCAGATTTTGCGTTTCGCTCGGCAAGCATCACGAAGAAGGCAACGGCGGCTAAGATTGCAGAGAACCTGAGGCCTCAGCCCCCTGAGCCTGATGCACCGCCGAGTGAGCACATTGAGCTTGAGTTTTCACATCGTATTGCTACAGCAGCTGCAGAGGATCAGGAGGCCATTGATTTCGTTGACGGCCCAGTCCCTGGTCCTCCACCTCCCCCTCCTCCCCCACCGGCCTTACCCCCTCACATTCTCGAACGCATAGCTGCAAGTCGAGCTGCTGCTCTTCAGAGGCGCCGTGAGCGTCGTCTAGAGCTGCGCGGAGTACCAGCTTCACTTGAGGCTTTGTACGATTCGGCTCGTGGCGCCACGCAGGGTAGCTCGCAGCTTGTTCAGTCTGATTTGCATCGCTGGTTCGTCCAGGCGCTTGCTAATTCCTAAGGGTGCGGTGGGAGCTTGATGAGTCAATTGGCGTGGGATGTGGGGCTGTCGCTCCAACAATTACGTGCAGGCATGGGCATTCCATGTGCCGTGTGATCTCAGGCGTCCACAGCCACTTACATGTGAGGTGGGGCGACAATTTATTTTGTCTGCGGGTCGAGAGCGAGCCTCTTCCGATTAAGAGCTAGGCGGGCCGCGCAAAGCACTAATTGGGGAGACAGAGCACAGGCGGGCGAGATGGGGCGACACACACGTTGTTTGTACTCGGTTTCGCTGTACACGGCGTTGTGCGTTCGTTGTGTCGCCCCGCCTCGTGATCCTCTTTTGTCCTCTGCCCCGTGCGCCCCGTCCCGCCCGCTTACGCGGTGGGCTGCGTGAGCGCGGTGGGAGCCGTCGACCGCGGCCACAAGGAGGTGGGGGGAGGCAGGAGGGAGGATGGTACCTGTCTCTCAGGCAGAACTTGTGATTGTATTGCTTATGTTTCTATATCAAAAATGTTTCTGGGGTTCGTGTCTATGGGCGTTTCCCTGGCCCCTGGTATGGGGCTCACGTCAGCTGTTGGGCACAAACGGGCTCAGCAACCGCCAGGCAGAAGAGGCTTGATCTCTCCTTCGTGGACAGCCGTTCCGTTCCGTTCCGTTCCTCCTCCTCCTCCTCCTCATCCTCCTCATGCTCCCTCCTCACGTTGGAGCCTCGTGCATCGCCTGCTGAATATTATTTGCAATTACTGTGCAGATCAACCTGTTGCTATCAGCTCCGTTTGCTGACCTACTGTAGTGCAGTAAGCTTCCCTGATCGACTCCAAGTTGTTGATCGCATGTTATAGTCGGATCATGGCAAGCAAGGCTCAAGAGAAGTTCAGCCACAATCGTTCACAGGTTGCTCAGCGGTTCAATCCTACGATTCAGTGACCAGGGCGTGTGCAGCACAAGCATTGCTGTCATACTACGAACTGTTTTCTCAGGAGCAGTGCCTTCTTTGCGTCGTCCCACAGCGCGTGAAGCGACAGCCTGCAAAAAAACAACAATTGAATATAAAAGATGAGCAGTTCTGGCTTGGACTCCATGGACTCGCACATAAGCTCAAGAGTTGTCATGCTCGGAGCAACACCCGCATGCCTGCTTCGCTGAACCAGTAAGAGAACCAACACACGAGCCAAAAGTCAAAAATCGGGGGGACCCTTTTTTCCCAAACTGGGCTTGCCTCTGGGCCTCTTTCTTGCTTTTGAACAGCCGGTGCGTGCGCAGCCTGCGCCAGCTGGCGTTCCCCCGGATGCCCTGGCCATGTTTCCTTACGATGGCGTTTCTCGGGGCTCCCTGGTCTGGCTTCCCTGGTGCTTTCCAGAAGCTGGCCTTCCTCGGGTTCCCTGGGTATCCCGAGTTCCTTGATCTTGCTTCCCTGGCCTTGTTTCCTCACGATGGCGTTCCTCGGGGCTCCCCCATGGGTTCCCTTTCCTCGGGTTGCATGGGTTCCCCTGGCCTTCCTCGGGTTCCCTGGGTTCCCCTGGTTCCTTGGTCTTGCTTCCTCTGGTTGTGAAAAGGCGTTCCCTAGATTGCCAAGCAATACCAAGCAATGCCAAGCAATGCCAAGCAATGCCAAGCAATGCCAAGCAATGCCAAGCAATGCCAAGCCATGCCGCTGGGGAAGCGTTCCCCGTATTGGGGTCGTGATGGGTTCGTTACAAAGTTTGGGCGGGTGTGAACACATGCCTCGCAGGGTGGACTACAGGGCAACGACGGTGCTGCACAGATTTCTAATGCCACGGCCACTTCGGCGACCAGAAGCGGCCGCGTTGTGCGCAAGGAAGGGGAGAGGGGCCGCGCCAGGACGCCGGCGAGGCTCACACGACTGCATTTTCGCGTGCGGGGTGGGCCGAGGCCTCGCTCTCCATCCGCGCGCGGACGGCGCGCCCGCGCGATCACACGAGGGCCGAGCGCTGAGAAGCAAGCGTGTGGGCACGTGATGTCCAGTTCCCGCCTGGGCCGGTCATGTCGCGTGCGTCCAGCCTCCCCAGGGCGCCCATCTTCGCGCCCTCGCGCCCTCGCGCCGGCCCCCCGGATAAGGGCAGCCGCTCCGGCCCGGAACGCGCCGCGCGAGGCGCGATCCTCTTCGCGACCCCGCGGGTGACCGAACCGCCTGGTGGGCGCTGCACCCAAGCTGGGGCGAGTCGCCGTGAGGTGGCGCGGCCTTGCCTGGAGCGGCCTGGCCTTGCCTGGAGGAGGAGGGGGGAGGAGGAGGAGGAGGAGGAGAAGGAGGAGGAGGAGGAGGAGGGGAGGAGGACGGCGCAGGGACATGTTGCAATAGATCCTAGACTCTGGCTGAGCCCCGTGGGGGCGGACGCCGCCCCTGGCTCGCCGAGCCCCCTCCCCCTGAGGGGCACCGCCGGCACCCGTCCCTCCCGACCGCGAAGGCGAGCTCGTCGATGTTCCCGTCGGCCTCGCGCCGAGCGTCCCGCGGTGCCCCCATGCCCGCCTGCTCTGCCCGTGCAGCATCCGATCCTGCCCCCCTGCTGTTGCCTCCGCTGCCCCTGCTGCGGCTCGCGCGCGGGCCCCACGCGGCTCCCCCCTGCCACTCCCGCGCACGCGCACGCCTCCTCCTCCTCCTCCTCCTCCTCCTCCTCCTCCTCCTCCTCCTCCTCCTCCTCCTCCTCCTCCTCCTCCTCCTCCTCCTCCTCCTCCTCCTCCTCCTCCGAGTAGGAGCGCGACGGCCTGCAGGCCAGAACTGTGCAGCGGCGCTGCTCTCCTGCAGTCGTGGTGGTGCCAGTCACGACGCGCACACAAATATAAATACACACAAATAAAAAGATTCCCCATATTGTCCCATGTTTTCTGGGTTTTTGTATTCCCCCCACTTCCCATAGTTTCCCATGTTTTCCTGGGAATCGACGATTAATTGTGTCTGTGTGTTTTTCCCCTCCTGAACCATGTGTGTCTGGACTCCTTTCAAGCCCCGCTCCATCCAGGGCCGAAAGACTATGCACCGTACAATTCCTCGGTCGAAGATCGACGACGCCCCGGGAGCCGCCAACACGGTGCGGTGCAAACAAGGCAGCTGCGAAGCGCTATCGCCATGTAGACGACCAGGATTCATCCAAATCAGCACCAATCCGACGCGCTTGCGTAGAGCTACGCTGTCATGCCCAAACTGCATCCGCGACGAACTAGGGGCCACCGTCGGGAAGCCAAACGGCCACCATAGTTGCATCTATGTTATTGGATTGCTTCATAGTTGTTAACAATGAAAACTGCTTCTACTATACATATATATACACTACTAAATATGTTTCAACATGTAGATATATGCGTGCACGCAGGTACGATATCGTCAAATGTGTAAACATACATGTATGTACATATATATATATATATATATATGCATACATACCTAAATATATGCATACACACATACATACAGGCATGCATGCATGCATACATGCATAAATAAATACATGCATGCACTTGTATATATACACCACGGGGACAGGGGAGAAGCCAAGAAAATATCAGAGAACCCCGAGCAGCCATCGAACATGTATGACTTACCCTTGTTTTTCCTCGGGGAGCTGTTTTCTGTACTGCGTTCGCTGGCGGACGAGAGGAGGATGGGAGGAGGACGAAAGGAGGACAGGAGCAGGACGGGAGGAGGACGGGAGGAGCAAAATCAAGCAAGAGCAAGCAAGCAAGCGAAAGCAAGTAAGCGCAAGCGAGCAATAACAAGCAAGCGAGAGCCAGCGATCAAACGCAAGCAAGCAAAGGCAAGCAAGAGCAAGCAAGCGAGAGCAAGCACGCAACAGCAAGCAAGCAACTGCCATTGGAAAAAGGGGGTGCCATTGGAAAAAAAGGGGGGCATTGGAAAAAGGGCATAGGCATAGGCATAGGCATAGGCGTAGGCATAGGAGTTAGGGGGAGGCATAGGCATAGGCATAAGCATATGCATAGCCATAGGAATCAGGGGGGGGGCATTGGAATTAGGAGGGGCAACGGACCAATTAGTATGGTTTGAGTCAGACCTCTCATAGGGCAAGCCTATCCGGAGAAAAGAAAGGGCAGGGCGAGCCCAGAGGTGACTCGAGGAGGGCGGGAAGCCAGGATGACTACTGAGTGACAAAATGAGGGATCGGTGGGACCGACCCCCGAAAACCCGCTAAGTCATTCATGCGCGCGCACCCCCATGACTTACCCTTGTCTTCTCGCGAGGAGCTTTTTTGTTTACTGTGATCGCTGGTCGAAGCGACCGGGATCCGAGATGGGATCAAGGCGGAGGGCCCCGCCCCCGCCCGCAAATCACCTGACATCCCAAGTCAGAATCCCAAAACAGGAGCCGCTCTCACATTGATAGATGCAGAGAGCGAAGGACGGACGCAGCTCGGTAGGACGAGGAGCCAGAGCAAGCGGAGCGTGGCCGCCGTGAAACTTGTCGCCTAGACACTTAAGCCCAAGGCGGGGAATATCGCCAGACGAGATGCTAAAAATAGAACTGCACACGTTGAGCCTGCTGCAACCACCGCACCTGCACATGTTTTTTTTTTTTTATATATATATATATATATATATATATAATATATATAAAAATATAAAAAAAAAAAAAAAAAAAAAAAAAAAAAAAAAAAAAAAAAAAAAAAAAAAAAAAAAAAAAAAAAAAAAAAAAAAAAAAAAAAAAAAAAAAAAAAAAAAAAAAAAAAAAAAAAAAAAAAAAAAAAAAAAAAAAAAAAAAAAAAAAAAACGCACTTTTGGGAGAAGGAGGAGGAAAGCATGAGGGGACGAAGCGGACAGGACCGATATCCTCTGCTGTCAGCTCTGGATGCAAGCCCAACCGGCGTAAAAACTGTTAAAGGGTCTTCCGCCTGAGCATCACAGAAGCGGCCATTAAGGAAAAAGCCGGTCTTAAGTAACATTTCCTCGGCGCGCGCCTGAGGGAAACAAATGCCGGTCTCGAGTATGATTTCGCCGAGCGAAGAGAGAACGAGGAGGAGAGAAGGAGGAGGAGGAGGAGAAGGAAGGAGAGCACTGAGCAAAGCCCTGAGGGTCATCGCCAGCCGACTCCTGTGAGTCTGGGCGCCCCGCTGACCAGAAGAAGGCGTGCTCCCAAGGTGTCGCGCTCATTGGCGAGTCAGTACATTACACGCGGGAAGAAATGTGATGGGCAGCGACCACGGACGACAACGACGAGGAGCGGAGGAGAGGAGGGGGGAACTAACTCAGCTTTGCCACACTGCGGCCACGAGCGATGCGAGGCGAGGATGCGCAGCACAAGCTTCCCTAGCGTACTGCCACATGGCCTCCCACGCGTTGGAGGTGGCCCCGTGGCGCGCCGCTGTGGATGCCGCGTAAACGCAATACACCGCCAGGGCACGGCGAGCGATAGCGCTCGCCGTGTCTTCGGAAAAACGGGGGGAGAGGAGCAGAAAGTGAGACAAGCGCTCGCCGGGTGGAGGGGCAGTCAGCGCCAGCTGCCTGCGCCCGAACTCCGCGACCCTGGAGCAGTGGATGTAGACGAGATGCATAAACCTCATGTTAAGATTTGTAACGCCATGTAAGCACGAACCAGCATGGGGGCGCAGGGCATCTGCAATCACGGGAATGACTGACCGAACTACGCCACTCACAAGCCTTCGCCGACGGGGATGGACAGAAGAAGGACCCCCCAAAAAAAACTGCCCCAATGCGAGTGGATCTGACTCACATCGATGTCGATAGAGGGCGGCGCCAGTCAGGGTATCCAGAGACACATATCGGGCCAGAAAACCTCGCTGAGCAGAGGCCGCCAGGACGACCTCCAAGGGGGCCGGACGGCGTAAGAGCGCCACAAGACGACCCCAAGAGGCCCCAAGAGGCCCCAAAGAAGCCCCAAGAGTCCCCAAGAGGCCCCCAAGAGGCCTCCAAGAGGCCCCAAAAAAGCCCCCCCCAAACCTCGCAACGGCTAGACTGTACGTGCTCCGGACGTGCACCCCGCGAAGCGAGAGGAATCCACGTCTGGAGGTGACGTGCTGAGCGGCATCGTCGCGGATGCTGTAATGCAACGTATCCAAGATATCCAATGACTGCAAATGTGTTACATGTTGTATTGTGTGTAACCCTCCCAACCCCCCCCCCGAGCCCACGCCACTCCCGTCGACCCAAAAGTGGAGAGCTCTCCTGCTGGGCCTAAAACCTACCAAAACATTGGGAAAATATGTGATGTGGGCCCATGGGGCCTCTTGGAGGTCTAAGAGGTCTGAAACGGCTCAAGACGGCCTCAGTGCGGGACAAGACGGCCCCAAGACAGTCCAAGATAGCCCCAAGAGGGCAAAAAGCCCCCAAGACAGCCCGAGAGGGCTCCTAGAGGACCCCCAGGAGCGCCTCCAAAGGCCAAAATCAAAATTGTCCTATGGTTTTTGAAAAATGTTAGCGTTCTCGCCTTTTTCGACTCTCAGAGGCCCCTAACGGCCCAAGCAGCCTCTTACATGGGCCACACAACGACCCCAAAGGGCCCCAAGAGAGGCCGAAGACGGCCCAAGAGGGCCCCTATATCGCCCAAAGAAGCCCCAAGACGGTCCAAGAGGCCCGCAGCACGGCGCAAGAGGACCCCAAGAGAGCCCCAAGGCGGCCCCGAAAGGTCCCCAAAACGGCTTCCAGAGAGGCCAGACGGCGCAAGAGCGCCCCAAGACTACCCAAGAGGCCCTCAAGAGGCCCCAAGAAGCCCTAAAGAGGCTGCCGAAAGGCCCCCAGGGGCCCCCAAGAGGCCTCCAAGAGGATCCCAAGAGGTTCCCAGTAACTAGGCCCGACAACGACTGGTCTTTACGTGCGACGGACGTGCACCCGCGAAGCGAGAGGAATCATTAACATTCCTGGGCAGCATATAGAAAGTCAGCCGAGCAGCCAGTCCAGGAGCTCTAGGCAGCAGGGTCAGATCGCAACTCATCACCGGATTCAGCCGAAAGGGAATGATAACATTGACATCCCTCCCTGATGGCACCGACTCCATTCAATGCAAGCACTTCTATGCAAGACCATCAGAAATCAAGGTGGAAAGCAATTCACCAACCGTCAGACAAGTTAGCCGAGCAGCCTGTACAAGAGAATATCCAAACATCAGCATCAGATCGCAACTCATCACCGGATTTAGCCGAAAGGGAATGAGAGCATTAACATCTTTCCCTGATGGCACCGAATCCAATCAAGGCAGGCACTCTTATGAGCGACCCTCAGATATCGAAGTGGAAAACAATTCATCAGCAGTCAGACAGAGCTCATGCTGTTCTGAACACTGGGCCAACAACATCACACAACGACAAACTCCTTATCACTGACATGCCCAGGCAACCGTGGAAAATCAACCGAACAGCCGATCCAGAAGAGACTCCAAGCATTAGGGCCAGATCACAAATCATCACTCAGCCGAAAAGAAATGGCAACAGGAACATCCCTCCCGGATGGAACCGACCTCAAGTCAGTGCC